AGGACACTGATGTCCATGTTAATGTGTAAACCGCAATCTTGCAGCCCTAATTTGCTGAGTCATAACATTTCCAAATGTTGGGTCACCTGATTGAATACTGCCAGCTCTTCTGACATCTGATAGCTGTAATCAGTTTTGTGGGTCTTCCATGATGCCAAATTGTGTTAGCAGCTATTGCTGATACTGTGAGGAAGTGTTCCCTCATCTGGTCTCTCCCCGGCTATTATACAGATTAACCGGATCTGAGTCAATTGCACTTTTTTTTTCTCTCACATCTGAGATCTGTTGTTCTCTAGTCATGGTGGATGAGCAAAGATCTTGAATTCCCTAGTGATTTCACATTATGATGTCCTTCCAGCAATATACTCACAATAATTTCCTCTCCTACCCTGAGCTGTAGCATTGTCATTAAAATTGGCTCACTTTTTTGCCTTTTATGAGTGAACACACAACCTTTATCACTGTAGACTCACAGGTACAGTATGCATTTCCTGCTGTGCATTTTGCCATTTCATACTCAGCAGCAAAAAGGAGAATGAAGACATTAACTAACATTTTCAACACACACATAACAACTCTTGTAATATCATAACCAAACAAGTCAGCATATCATATTTTACAATGAAAAAGTTGCTATTTTTAACTGTGTATATATAATTATCTCTGGTTATTGGAAAACCACGTTTTTTGCAAAGGTGCTTTTTGTTTAGTGTTTGGGTCATTTAATGAAAATAAAAGCAAAAGCCCCCTTAAACCTCCTAAAGTCAAATAACGATGGTTTGTATAAAAATGTTGATGGAAAAAAAAACACAATTTTGCTCATCAAAAATTAGTTTTTTTTCTACTAATTATGGCAGGGAATGGCACAGTGCTAGAATCCATCATATACTGGTTCAGTAGGAAAAAACATGCATCACATAAAAACTTTGTATTATTGTAAATGTAATGCATAGCTCCTGACATCGGAAATGCAGAGACAGTGCTATACCTAATTTACTTCTATACTAGCTACTATACTGTACATAATTTTGTTCTCCATCTGAAACATATAGAATATTAATAATGCTGGTAATGTTCTTGGGTTGTTTTTAATCTGCTCTTGATTTTTAAAGTGATTATTTCTAAGATCAATTGATTTTAAAAGATAAGTACTGTATAAACACACAGAAGTAATCTAAAACAAACCTACTCCTTTCACTCTCTAGTGAAAGCACCCTCCCACACACTGCAGTTCAATCAATTGATGCAACAGCACTGGTTGTCTGGTTGTACTGTACTATAGTGTGCTTGAGTTCTGCGTTATTTACAGACACAGAATTTTAAAGTACAAGATTTTTTATGTTCAAGGTCACAGCTAAAAAAATAAGTTTTCTTAATTCCTAAATTAATGTAAAAAGCGGGAAAATATATGTTATATCATATCACATGGTATACTAGAAGCAAGTATCAAATTATAAAACACACCGAAAAACAGGGATTTGAACATTTTGTGGCTATAGGGCACTATTAACTCTTGATCTCCTCTAAAAAATGGTAAACTGTAAAAAATTGTGTGCTACAAATGTAGCATGGCAACAATATACATTTTTTTTCCATTCAAGTTTAGCTTGTCTTGGGAAAAGTAAAATTAAAGCAAAAGACAAAATCTTTGAAAACACCTACATTCATTTTTGAAAACATAATATTAAACGGTGATTGTTTTGTTTTAAAAAAGCACTGTTTTTTTTGGTGTTGTTGAGAATTGAGTCAAAAAAGTAACTCATACTGTGACATTGTTGAAATTAGAAGGTTCTATAACTTATCGTTTCGCTGAATGCACAACTTATAGTTTACTGCCATTTCTTAATTTTCCCCAATTTCCCCCCAGTTTTCCAAGCTTTGTAATTGAGTTATTTTTTGTCTGACACTTTTACACAAAGTACCCTTTTAAAACGTGGGGTATTTTAATGAAGTTATCTAAGTCAGGTACTGTACCTTGCCAGGGGTATAACAGCAGTATGATGCAGCATGATATGAATACCTGACAAGAGCCTGAACCACACTTCCATAAAATGTAATTTATTCAATATATCCAATCAGTAAAAGGCTTTATAAAATCTGGATTTTGAATAAATGTCTTAGATTTTCATAATCTAATGTTAACTATAGGAGGTGAATAAATACATAGTATCTGCACTAATTGAATTGTAAGACCTTATATTTGGATTATATCAGCATTCTGCCAATTTGCATCTTTATCTGTGTGGTCATTTGTATGTAAGAAAGAGATGCTGCATGGAACTTAGTACTTTCATTTTACTCCACAATATCATTGGGATTTTAGTTTACATGATAAAGCCTTTACTAAAGTCATGAATGTGGATTTTTTGTAAAAAAACAGATTTTCTACTTTACTAAATATAAAGTATTTAGTAATACTTTATAAATATACAGAAAAGTGGAGATAACATATGGTGTATTGTGTTTTGTGGACTACAGATGTTGATGAATTTAAAAGAAGATCTAAAGGCATCCATTTTCATCAATTTTAACCGGGGAATTGTAATATGCACAATGGTTCCAGGATATTGCATCAAGCTAAATTTAGAATAGATTACACCTCTGAAAAATTTGAAATGCATTAATTTGAACACATTTTGTTACTATTGTAATTATTACAGAGTAAACTTACATTGTTTTTAAGAAATATTAACAATAGATTTCATTAGGTACAATTAACATTTAGAGGTCTGATGTGGAATAAAGGAGATTTCAAACTGTTTGAGCTTTGATTGCATTATTTTACATGACTTACAAATGCTAACAATTACTATGCTGGGCCTCAGACTATGTTTAGGATCACGGACTTTACTGTCCTTTCCAGCACTTCTTGTGTGTGCAAGACGTTCCTTCTCCAATTCGGAAAAGACAAACAACTTAATTTAATTAAATCCTTCATTGTTTCAGATTCATACAACTAACTTCAGAATATGAAACAAATGATGGAAAAATGACTATTTGCTTTCTATCATAAAAATACACATTAACTAAAATTGGATTTTTTACAATGTTATTAATTAAATTAATATAAATAAAATGGCTAAATATATTAACATGTTTTTTATTAATAAACATGACATGTTATGGATATTGTCATGTTAAAATGGCAATCAAAGCAAAGTTAATACCACTCTTGCAGTATTTAGCATCCAGTATAAGAAACACTGACATAACAAGGCTTCTAAACTCTTACGCGTACTGCCCATAGAGAAGAACAACAATAAATATTTGGATGAGCACAACTACTTACAATAAAACCAATACACAAAAAAGAGTTGGATAAAAGCAAAAGAAGTAAATCTGGCACTGAAAGCACAGAAGTCTGTTTTCAGAATTTACTACCACAATACTACAAATTCAGTTATGTTCTGTTAAAAACTAGTTGTTTTTAACAGAACAAATGATGAGCCTTATCTTTTCAGTCTTTAATTTGATTTGTTTTTAGTTTCTTTTGACAAATTCTTTATTATGGTTGCTGTGGTTTATTGTGTTTTACACGCACATTCAGTGAAGCAGCTAGATTGATTCTTTCCAATATCAACTGCTTAAAGGTAAAGGTACATACTATACAGTACATTTTCGACAGTGTTACACAGTATACAGTATACACAGGTTTAAAGGAGACTAATATTTACCATAACCTGTCTTTTATAATATACTTATGCATACGAAAACATACACAGCTATGTTATATACACATGCAGATAAACCAATATCAACCCCCATCTGCGCAACGTTAATTATAAATTCAAGGCATTCTACAATAAGAAAAACTGCACGTAACGGCTCTCTGTTAAAGACTACTCAGATGGATTCAGAGTTCACTGCTTCAGATTTGTTGGTGTTGAGAGATACACAGTCATACCACTTTTGAGAAAAGGCTATCCCTGTCCTTCACCAGAAAGAGCTACAGTACCTGGAAAATGTCGGGTCAATATCAGCTGTGTAAACACGTGTATGGATTAATCATTTAATTGAACAGTAGTAATGTGTACAAAACACATTAGGAGCGCATAAAGTTAACATTTAATTACATATGTGAATAATCTATTTACAAAATGGGGTGAAGGACACCGCATATTCAGGTAAAAAAGCTACGAACGCTTTCTCTTTAGTTAAATTCCGTACGTACACCAAGTGCCTACTGTGCTCAAGTAAACCAGAAGCTTTCCTGACTGATTTATATTAAATGTATGCAGTATGAGATCCAGTGCTTAGGACGAAGAATTAACATAGTTACACCCACGAAAGGCTAAACGGAATACGTTTATTGAGAACCTACTGAACACGTCCAGCTCTTAAAAGCATCATTCCCTCAAAATAAAGGACTAAAATAACAATATCTAGCAAAATACAGTACGTACTGTACATACACAATCCTTGCGGTCGACACCACACAGCCCCTTCAAAACTGCTCCTGCGCGCTTAACGGTAGAAGCGTTTCCACACAATGCAGACGCGTTATCTGATAAAACATTAACATTAACGTTGTAATCAGTTTTATTTTAATATTTTTAAGTGTCTGATTTTAACTATAGAACTGAAAGCAGGAAGTCGAAACTTTTCTGGATGATTTTGTGTATTATTAGTTTAACTTCTGAAGTTCCTTTTTACTTAAATCTAAGGACCTTTAAAATGGGCTTACAATTTCTATTACCAATTACTTTCACAAAGTAAAATGTTGCAAAACATGAAGGAAACATCTACAAGCTTCTGCTCTTAGACGCATAACCTATGAAAGGGGAAAAATTGTTTTTTTTAAAATAATCTTTCTCTTTTTATTTATGCATATTCAACCCCAGACATACTGTACAGAACAATATGAAGCAGTGACACTTGAAAATAAAATAAATACTGTATGTGCAAATAGAGCCAGCTATCGTGTTAAAACATTGTGCTTTGTAAAAAAAATGTTAGCTTTAAACGTTTTTAAGGTATCTTTAAATAAAGTTGAACATTACCTGAATTTCCCTTGCGTGGTATACAATAATCAGACCAAGAAGAATTACCGTAGAAAGGCTAATAAGGCATTTTAGAGCTAATGAATACAGCGACTCCTGCAATATAAAAGAAACGAAGTTTTCATTAAAGACCCCCAAAAAGTTAATACTATGTTTTTTTTAACATAAAATGATAAATAGCATTACAGATTTTTTTTAAAATTAAGAAATACTAAAAATTAGCTTGGCTGCAACAGCTTAATCTCCGCAAAAAGTGATAATTAAAGGTGAACAATAATTTCTAGAAGCGGATTTTGTCTTTGTCGGGTTCCCAGTGTTACTGTAGGGAAAGCAGCCCCTGAGGCATGAAAATGTCAAGAGGCAGCACAACATTTACTTAAGAAGCACAAAGAGCAAAGCAAATAACATATGGGTAACGCAGGTATTTCAAAGCATCCCGTTCTATGTCAGCTTTTAATTTTTTTTCAGGCGGTCCTAGAAAAACTAAATTATCACTTTTCAGTGAAGGTGACGTTTCCTTACCTTCTGATAAGCCCCCCAAGAGAGTTCAGTTTCTATAACCATAACAACAATCCCAAACATCCCAAAGATCAAAGCATAGTCGCTCAGTCGCTTTCGTTTTTCAAAGAGGGCTCTCCTGTGTCCAAGCTTATAGCCGATGTTCTGGTTTTTCTTTTTGCTCGATTTATTATTTGCAGCGCTGCTACCTCCTCCTGATCCGTAAGGCATCAGGGTAGTTGAGTTGTTCTGCTCCGGCTTGGAAACTACTATCTCGGGTGCGCCCGCGGTAGTGGAGATGGGTTGTAAAGGCTGTGACTCCGAGTCCAACTCGTGCAGGTTCCTGCGGGAAGAGCTCAGGTTGCTGAGCGGCCGCATCACACCACCGTTGTACCTGCAGCTGCTCATGGCTATTTCGGTGAACGGGTTACTCTCCCTGCGGCTGCTGCCAGGGCTGCCCTGTTGCCTACTGTGGCACTGCTGGTACTGGTGATGGTGGTGGTGGTGGTGGTGGTGGTGATGGTGTTGCCGGGATGAACTGGCATGGCTAGAAGGCGTGAACTCGCTAACGTTTAGTTGACTGCCTGGTCGAGAAGACGATACGGGCGACGAATTGGTCCTGAAGGCTCCACTTAAGGGGGGCGAAGTCCGCAGAAGAACGAGGCTCTCCCCTGCACCATAGGGACAGTTGTTGCATGTGAAGCACTGATCGTCCTGCTGCTGGAGAAACTGATCTTCTTGACTGAGGCTGCGGTGCTGATGCTGGTAGTGCTGATGCTGCTGCTGCTCCTGAAAAAAATCGTGCTGGAACTGCAATGGGGTTTCCATGTCAGAGTTGTTAAAGCACCAGGAGGAACGGCCAGTGCACCCAGCGCAATGCGTTATGGTAGGGATGGGGAAGTCCTGTTGGGGCGAGGATGGACCCATTTCGGCTCCTGTAGAATCCAAGCAGCGCGTCCGATTGGTCGGGCGGACCAAAACAACTGGCATGACGTCACCTGCAACACAGAGGTAAAATTTGGAATTGCGGTGGGGAAGCTCATCCCTTTGGGATTCCACCTACTGTAACTGCTGTAGGGAAGTAGGAAACTGCCAAAGGTAGGGAATACCGTCTGTTATTTTAAGTGTGGAACTGCTGTAACATCTCACAGAGATTTAACCATTTGTGCCATTCCCTTCCTGCTAGGTTTAGGAACGTGCAGCAAAGTTGCCGATCGTACGCAACATGTACACAATTTGGTTAAGATGTAACAGTAAACTGATTTTAAGTTTGTAAGATCCTCGTATTTAGAAGAACACGTCTTTTTCACAAGATAAACAGTCATCAATATTTGACTCAAACAGCTGTTGGGACTGCGTAACATCATTCTTTGTTAAAAAAACATTGTTTTTCCTTCTAGATTCTCGCCGAACTTTGAACTGCTATTTTTTTCGTTGTGACAAATCTATGTGGATCTTTTTAGTTTTTATTCCGATACTAATTATTATAGAACGCTACACAGAACATTTATTTTGCTTTTTGGAATATATGCTTCTTCAAATAAACAGTGGCTTATATTTATTTGAGGGATCTTATGAGTGCTGTGCTAATTCTCGCAGTTTCGGAATGGTCTTTGAGTGTGTGCCATATTTGGGTTAATGCTTATCAGTATCCACCTGTATTATGATTTCTGCTTCAACTATTTGTCTACATTTTTTCCTACAGTTTTCACAATAGAAAACTATCAAGAAGGACACAAAACACAGCGGTGTCTCAGGCAACGTGTGAGCCTTAAAACGAAGCCAAAAGGATTAACAGTCCTGAGCACGAATGTGCGTCGTCAGCATTTCTTGGAAAACTTGTCTCCCTTTCAATGCACAACTTGTCTTTGTTTCCGCATGAAACGAATCGTTTTGTATCGCTGCCCAGGGGAAAGTTCGTAAGAGTTCAAAAAAAGAAAGACATTAGAGTCGAAATGTTGCATTACTACAGACGTCGTTCACAGAATGCTTTAGCCTATATACAGTATTAAATGAGATACCAAACATGAAAGCTGACTGGTACTGTAGCGCTTTCGAAATAAAAAGTACTTCAGATATTTATGCCTTCTTAAAATAAATCCATTGCAGAAATAAACACAAGCATTGTTAAAAAAACAAGAAAACGACCTTCAGTTAGGCAGTTTTAATCGGGCAAAACGCACGATATCTTATACAAATTTAGATAATTAAAAAAACAATATGTTATGTGGGGAAGTCAGTTGTACTGCAAATAATAATGCTGTAAATGTAATCTTTATCAAAATAATATGCAAATAGAGCACTGCAGGGTCCCTTAACTAACGTAAATCAATCTATTGATCTCAGCTGGCCATATGAGATTTACAGTTCCTATCAACCAGCAGCAAAGCTGCAGAGAAAGACTGATTTATAGCATTGGAGTTGCTTTCAAAGGAGCAAAGGATGCTATCAAGCTGAAACCGGAGAGCTTTCATTAAGTAATTGAATTTCTTACCTGGATTCGATTTCCTGAATTGCTATTCTATATCATCTTTAATTCCTTGCCAGCTGCTTCTTTGCAATAAAATAAGTTTTGCCAAGTCTGTCAATAAATAATTAAAGGACCTGTTTGTGTACATTGGTAATCAAGTTATAATCCGCGCATTTCAGCTTCAAACCGTAAACTTGCAGAGACAAGTCTACTTGTTTCCAGTATATTTTATTTTATTCCGGTGTCCGAAGTTTCTTTATAATATTAAACTATTTCTGTTTGGTTACGGCAAATACATTACTGCGTACACGAGTGCCTTCATATTTTAGTTGCACATTTATCAATTTTATGTGCCTGTTAAATTTCATGTAAAAGGGAGGAAAATTGTCATTTGAGAACAATATTTGTACGGACTAAATGTCGTTTTAACACGTTTCTAAACACTAGAGGTCGTAATAATCCACTATTCTACCACAATGGTGACTGAGACTTATTGTGATTAATAAAAGGCGATTTGTTTCAAACGTTTAGAAAATTTGTCGTTTCTATGGAGATTTGTTTTAGATATCCTGCTGACATTCTAAAATTCATAGAATTATTTTAGATCCTAAAAGAAAAATCAAGATTGTGCCCAAATATTCAATATTGTTCAAATATTCTTTTCTGTACAGTACAATATTATCGTGTTGTACTCTATCAAGTCGATTTCTGTCTTTTAAGAGGAATGTGGTTTGTAATTTGAGGGGTTAGTGTAGGGAAGTAGAATGTTTGTAAAAGCTGAAGAAGAATGGTCATTAGAAAATTATAACTCCTAGGTGATTTCTTACGAAACGTGACATGTCAAGAGTAAGAACGCACTGCCACAACATAGCACAAATTTGACATGAAAATAGTTTAGCTCTACGTCATGTTATATGTATTTTTTCGAATATCTTGATCGCTTATGAAAAATATTTTGAATTATTGACTCTATTTTGTGTTTAGATTAGAAAAATAACAATTTATTTTTGAACAATTCAAAATGTGATAACACTTTAAAATTATGTAAAAGTCAACAGAAACTAGTCCTGCCTCAGTTTATAAAAATAAATGCAATAATGTATAAATAAATGTATATATGTATTATGTTAATAATATTTCAACAAAAACAGTAACTTACTGTATACGCAAAAGAGCCTGGTGTTATTGCAAAGTCTAATTATATAAGTACTAAAAGTCCTTGTAAAAAAAAAAGTAAAAGTACTGTATACTTATAAACACATAAATATAAGCAGTACTATACCAGAAAACACAAATCTAGTCTCAGTAAGTGGTATTTAATAATAGGTTCCTCTCCATAATGACATCCCGCAATAGAAGTGTAGGTTAAACTTAAGAACCTTGGACAGCTCACAATAGAAATACTGCAAATACAGACAGTTTGTTTCAGGGGTGTGTAGCAGGTTATGCTGTTTCAGCAATTTTAATAGTTGAGTTCTATCTATTGTTTATTTTACACAATTATGTTCTGATAAACCAGCTCCTACTGTTTTGATAGCAAAAGTCTATTTTTAAAAAACAGAACAGATTTTATGTTTTGATATAATTTTGTTGCAAATGGCTCACAGCAACATTTTTCCTCTTATTACCCATCACGTACCCTGGTCTTTTCTGTCATATCTTTAGCAGATGGTCTTCAGTTGTCTGTTTAGGTGTCATTATCTACCATCGCACATTTTTGCTTGCTGGAGTCCTTTTTTCACTGGTCTTTGAAGCTCACGTTGTTAGTGTTCATTGGACCTAAGGTCAGAAGACATGTAGGAATTGCATTTCTTTTTTTGAACACCCATTGCTTTTTCCCCCAAACCACGTCATTTAGGTTTATCATGTCAATGAGTTTATGATTTTTATCATTATGGAAAAACAAGCCCTATAATATTTCCCACTGTCAAAAATAGTATTATGTTGTTCTTTCAATAACAGCAACTATAACAACAATTATAGATTCCTTGTTACATATATATTGTACTTTTTTCTTCCATGGTTACTTTGTGTTTTGTTATTTATCTACAGATTGTGCTCTTTACAAAATATTTACAGGATTAATTATTAGAACACACAGAATACATGCCCTTGAAAATAATAATTTTGGATACATAATAATCAGGTCTTTGGATACATATTGATCATCATATTTTATCTCCTTCTTTGAAGTAATGTATCTAGAACTCCAGTGTGGTACCTACAGAACATCATAGGAGGTAGTAACATTATGTTTTGTGTTTATTGTGCTTGTGGATAAAATGGAGATGTATTATGAATTAAAGCTACTTCCATCCACTTTCAATAAGCTCTTATTTCGATACGGGGTGAATTTAATTGAGTAAGAGCCTAGCCCAACAACCAACAGGTGTAAGATGCAAACACCCTAGATAGTAGGAACCTGAGAAAGCTCATGCACCTGTAGGAAGAACATACAGGCATCACATAGAAGGCTCTTCAGGCTTGCACCAAGCCAAGGACTAAAAGAGCTGTGAGATTGTCTGGCCATCATACTGGCCTGAAAGGTGCACCTAAAGTCCAAAATAAACTTCCATGTGTGTTGTTTTTATGAAGGGTAATATTGTATTTGAGAAAAAAATCTATTTCCATCTTTAATGAATAAGAATTGAACCACGCCGATCAGATGCATTATGTGCAACTGAAAATGCTGCGGATAATGCTATTTGATGAGCACATTTTGAACTTGTTTATACAGTACATTACTTTCTAAATGACTCTGCCGACATTTGTAAGTCTAAATATAAATATTTAGATATTCGTGTGCAGTTCTCTAACATCGTAAATATCGTGGAAAGTGGATCTTTGTGGGAAGTTGTTTTTAAGGAGTAATGGGACAGGTATCAGGTATACAGTACAACAAGTCTGTTTCCATGGGTATTACAAATCAAAGAAAAAAGATTAGATTAGATTATCTATGTACAGTTGGCTCCAAATTTATTAATATCCTTGATTCAATATAATTGCTGTTTATAGGTGAAGACAAACAAGTGCACATACAATATCGGTTGCACATGAAAACATGAATAATAGTGGGACTACCAGTACTGAATTATGCAAAACAAATTTGTAAGGCACATTTCTGTGAAAACACAATATGCTAAATTCTGAACACTCAAGCAATTAGTATTTTACTGGTCCTCTTTTGAGTCTAGGAATTTACTGAATTAATTTCCTGTAGCATCCATGCCCATTTGTTTCTACAGTATCAAATTACTGATAGTGATAATTTTTCGAATTCTTGAATTTAATTAAGTAACAAAAATGTATACCTAGATTTTGTGCTAAAATATGATTTTATTGCTGTTCATGGTTATAAGTTTTATTTAAAAGCAGATAAGAATAAATCCTAGAGGATTGGCATATAAGGTTACATTGTTTTCATCTGCTGCACCACAAAAAACTGAATTTTCCTATGATTCCACATAAGTGAGCTAACAGATACTACGTGAATAATGATAATCTATTACTAGGACATGATAGAAGGCTTTTATCTGACTTCTAAAATTAGAATTAAAAGTGTCATATGGCTTGTTCATTGCTGCCTCTGATAATGTTTGCTACAGCTGGAAATGTAGGTTTGTGCTGCAGACATCAGCATAACCACTCAGTCTTGTAGAATACATCTCTCACCTTAATTTTACTATATATTAATAAAAATATATATTTATAACAATTTTCTCCTTTCAAAAGGTTGTTGTACTAATGTACATTCACAGCTTTCACTTTAGCTTTACAAATTAGCATCTTAAGCTATTGTGGATGAGATTGTTAAGGGCTAACTTGTTTCTTATGCATCTGGTTAAATGTATTTTTCTTGAAACTACTTTTTGTAATTTATGTTTACACTCTTGATTTTTCTTTCAATGAAACCTCATTTATCTTGGTGGTATGGGAAATGTTAATTAATGTAATCTTTGGGCAAAACGCACCTAGGAGAATGAAAGACTGAATGAGTCTGACTGAATTTCCCTTTACATTTGAAATACTTAAAAGAAAGTTCATGAGGCAAAATATATATACAAAGAGGAGAACAGACATACTGTAAATGAGATTAGGATTTCCTAACCTTCTTCCTTAACTTTGGTTATAAGTGCCATTTGCTATATATAATTTATTTTGTACTATTAATAATAAACTGTCAGGTATGATATGAAAGATTTTCAATTGTTGGAAAATTTAGCTGGATTCTCCAGCTGCATATGGGTTACTTTTTCTCTCATACAAATACACATACACTACTGTGCAGAAGTCTAAAACATTTTGCATTGTTTGACTCTTTTCCCTTGCTATTTTTTTTCTTCTTTCCAGAAACACAATTCTCTAACAATCATCTTCTAAAATTGAAGGTGCTTTAAGCTTACAGTTAATTTTGGCAGATCTATATTTTGTAGAACAAAAAGTTGCCTTTTACCTTATCGATGTATAGAGAGGAACAAATGATGTTAACGGCTAGGAACACCTATCAATGGGTCAATCAGATTTCATTGGTAAATGTGATGGATTGGTTAATACAGCACTTCATATTGGCTACTCATCTGTAGCTTGTCTTCAGCTGTTGTGATCACATTTATTAAGATTCTGATCAATGTGAATTACAAATTTCTAAATGGCAAGCTTGGTTATTATAATCATCATCAAAGTTCTAACTACAGTAAAAAACACTAGTCGACATATATTGTACTGTAACTCCTAACTGCTCCAGGGGCGCCGTACAATGGCAGACCCTGCGCTCTGATCCCAAGCTTCTCTCCCTGTCTCTGTGTCTGTGTCTCCATAGAGAAAAGCTGGGATATGCGAAAAGACGCATTCCTAATGCAAGAAATTGTGTAGGGCTAATAAAGAAACATTATCATCATTATTATTAATGTGTGTAAGGCTTTTGCATAGTAGTGTATTAGAATATGTAATAGACACAGTGAAGTACTCTCTCTTGAATTTCTGTGAATGTTTTCCTTAATACTTCAGACTAGGGTTTGAGTTGGTTACTTACTGTATATGATTTACTGAGTTGAATGTTGAGTTAAAAAAAGACCTTGAGTGGCCCAGTTTAACACATGTCTCAGGTTAGAACATGGTTTCTTCTGTGAAATCGTATTAACTGAAAGACTCCCTGGAGAGCCCATTAAAGGAGTTTACCCTGACGGTGAAGTTGTTCTTTGCTGCTTGGGTGAAAACGCATATGACAGATGGCTTGCAGAAAACTGAAAAAATACAATAAAGAATATTTTGGGATTTTTTTTAATTAGCTTCCTACATAGTTAAATGAGAAAAATGAAAAAAAAAACATTTTTAATTTATTATAATTTAGCTAGTTTCCATGTGTAATTTAGCACCATGGAGAGCTCCTTGCCCATGAATACTCAGCTGAAATTCTAAACATTTCCTTTTCAAAATGTTTTTTCTAACTTTGGTCTAACTTCTTTTGTCCTAACTCAAGCCCATGTTAGTTTGCTATCCCTTTATCGTACAATGAAAAGAGGTGGCATGGAGGAGTTAAGATTCGTTAAGATTCTGTGTGAAGTTTGCGTGTGTCTCATCATGTCATCGTTGGTTTTCTCAAGATCGAATCATATCCCCCCCTCTTTCTATAAATACAAAGTCCACATGAATCTGTGTCTCTAAATTGCCCTCTGAATGCAGGCCCTTCAATGTAACTGGTGTCCTGATCAGAGTAAAGTCCTGCCTTACATTCTGTGCCTGCTAGGATAGGCTCTGGCTCACCACAGCCTTCTGAAAATAAAGCAGTTACTGAAAAGAAATCAAATGAAAAAGATGAATACAATTTATTTTAGCAAATAATACATTGGCAATCCCCTAGGGTTCTGAAGTATTTTATAACTGAATTCAAAAGTCTTTTATATATATGAAGAATTATCCATCCACACAAACACATTCATACGAGGGCCAGTCTTACCAGAAGCCAATTAACATACCAGTACATCTTTGGGCTGTGGGAGGATACCCACGTGAACACAGGGAGAACATACAAATTCCACACAGATAGATAGCACCCAGAAATTGAACCCAGGGCACTAGAGCTGCGAGGCTGCCGTGCTAAACAAGCTGTGCTACCAGACCATCCAGGACAAATTATATAACAACTTGTCAGGATTGGAATCCCTCCTCTTAAGGGCTCTCCAGCCCTTTCGTATTTTACTTGAGTACATGCACCTGCCCCCTGTTTTGTCTCCTCATTTAAGCCTGGCACTCTCGCTATTCCCAGCTCTGCACTGGAAGACGGACGCCCGAAGACCCGCCTACCATCAAGTTGCCCTACGTCCGTGGCTTGAGGGCATAGGCTTCATCACGGCGTTCTGACCTGCTGACCTGTTGAGTCCAGGGCTGTTTTTATCCTCCTGGTTTCCTGTCCCTGTTCCTGTTCTGGATCCCCTTCCGGTTTCAATCTTGTCTGTCTCGGATTGGATCTCCCGGCTCGTAGACCCTAGACTGCGCCCCGGTTTCCCCTTTGGACTTGTTCGCCTGCGCCACGCCCCCTGAGCAGCAGATCACAGCCGTCTCGCCCCTCTCTCTGTCATCCCATCCTGCTCCTGCTGTGTTTCCCTTGAAGTCTTATTCCAGTCACTTCCGGATTATACCATCTACATAGGGTCCCGAACTACGGCTCCCGTGACACAACTAACAGCAACTGATCATCGTTTTCTTAAAATTCCCAGAGTTTCTATGATTGCAAAAATCCTTTTCTAAAAACTCTTCCCCATTATATACTGTGAAGTGTTAAAAGCATAATAAATATAAATAATAAAACATAAATAAACTAATGCTGTTGGTTCTCCATTGTTGCATTTGTGTTGCCTCTCAGTATATTTTACTTGATATTCGAAAAGAACTATTAAAGGGAATCAATGTTACAGTATCTCTCATATGGCTTATTTCCTAAATAGCTTCCTCTTTGTATTTATTTTTTAAGTACATTATCATGATTTAATGATTTATTGTGTTCCATCACTCCACTTAATTATTCAGCTACAAGAACACAAAACACATAAATAGTCTCCCAAGATTAGGAATTTAGAAATGTTACAGATGAGGGCAGGCCGTTTGGTTTCTCTTGCTCATTTGATTGCTAATAGACGTTGTAGTTTGTCCTTTAAGATGTCACGCAGCCCATGTGGCACAAGACCAGTTTCAACTCCTACCACTGCAAGTATAAGTATATAGAGTGAGCCTCATTAGAGCTGATGTTAAGGAGTAGCAAGCCAAGGATTCTCCACAGTAAAATACCAGGGGAACTTAGAAACAGAAGTGTAATGATGAGAAGACAGCTAGTTTACAGTGTGTTCCTGGATGAAGTTCCACATATCCTCTTTTACCACTGAAGCACCGCTCAATAATTAAAAATTACAGCATACTGTAGAAATATGCCATTTTTATTGTTATGCTTCAGATCATCTAAAAGGTTTAGAATAGGATAGATGATTATTTTTGTTTTAGTGTACGGTACTGTGCTATGAGACTAGTGAATTGTAGGCTAGAAATGAAATCTCCAAGACCTACTACTAATTTTCTTTCTTTGTGACTAAGGTATATCCAGTCCAAATAATGCATATTGTAGCCTCTGTCTGATGCCATCTATCTGATATTTTTCACCTTCCTTCCATAACAGTTATGGTTTGATTTAGATTTAACCCAGCATTCAAAGGGATTATTAATTAGGATGAAAATACTGTATCCCTATCAAAAATCTTTTCACTGTTATGGAATCTTCAGCAGAGTACATTTTAAGTGTAGACGTATATTCATCAATTAAGCAAGGAAGCAAATGCTAAGGTTCAGACTCAATTATTTTTATATAACCAGTATTATGTACCATCAATAATGCACTAGTCTGTCTTCAGGATGCAACTGCAGAAAGCTCATCCTTTAGTATCATGCTACAAATGCCAAGGAGGGTGATAGATTTCACATTAACTTCTTTCCTGAGTGCAGAAGAGATAGTTTGTCCTCTTTTCAGTTTGCCCTTTGAGCTCATGAAACTCTGAACCTGCTTGGACACCATCTTTTTTCCATCAATGGATAATGTGTACCCAATTACTAAATTGCACTTTAAATATAGCAATGGAGAAAAACGTTCAACACTGTCACAAAAGTCACAAAAATGTCGAATGTATTGGCTGAAATACATTCAAAATTACAGTGCTTGTCGTCATCTGCTGGAAATGTCTGTACATAAGCTGTTTTTAAGGAGCATGATAATAACCTTGTTTTGATATCCAGTGTATTTCTTTTTTTTTAGAACTTTATATTATAAATGGATGCTATACAAAGGCAACATGTAAAAAGAAACCAATGCAAAATCTAAATTACATTGTCATTTAGAAGAATGAATGGGAAATACCTCTTGTTTATACACCAGCAGTAAGTCTCTGATGACACATGTACTTATTGTAGGAATTTAAACTCAATAGACACCAGCTGATTGTCTTCTGTCAGGGGAGCTGTACTGTATAGTTAAAATTCAGTCAGTCGTTGATGGGCTTAGAAATTAATATGACAAACTGAACAATGACAAGGCTGTCGCTGTGTGCTTGACTGTTTCCCTGGGTATCATACCTTTGGTCTTTGTACATTTAGTTGACTTATAAGGCCAGTGGGATTCAAGTGAAATAAATGTTAATCACTAAATCACAGGTTTTTATGAGTTCCTAATGATACTAATAGGATGGTGATTTCCTTAAAGACTCATATTCTTTGAGAAATACTGTACAAGGAGTACCTATAGAAGGCCTGGAATTAAAATGTGTTGTTTTTCATTTGCACATCCTACCCCACAATGCCCAAGCTAAAAAATAAGAACTGCAACAGCATCGTTGGATAAGTATCCTCATGCCTGGATTAGGCCATCCAAAGTGGATGACCAAACAAGAAGGAGACTAATCAGAGAGGCAAGAGGCCAACAGCAACCTTGAAAAAGCCACAGGCTTTTTCTGGCCAAGACTGGTCAAAGTGTGCATGTGACAAGAATGCCCCAAACAAACAACAAATTTGGCCTGTGTGGCAGGATGGAAAAACATAAACAATGTATATCACAAAAAAACATGAGACAAAACATTTTGTGGTCTGAAGAATCTGAAATGGAACCTTGTGGCCTAAATGCATTAAATTGAATTTATATTCACATACTGATTTGTACTTACAAATCATACAGGGATTTCTACTGACACATGGAACACACATCATCAAGATAATTATCATCAAGAAAATTTCACTTTCCACAGAGTACAATGTCAGATAGTGAAATGCCATTCAAACAAGTGAATCAATCTACAGTACACGTTAACTGCAAAGCAAAAAACATACTGTGAAACAAAAAATAGCATAGAACAATTGTTCACCCAGTATCTTTCAATTTGACAAGGTTTTTTCAAGGAAAACATTTGTTAAAGAAATAGAGATTAATAAAAATGTTTGACTGTTTTGCTACATTGAAAATTGTGCATGATTTGACATATGAAATAGGAACACGCACCTACTGTGTCTATTCTTACCATTGTCATCTATGGAAACTAATCTCTTTAAAACTGAGGCTCTGCAAAGACAGAAGTTACTGTATTGTTAAAATAGCTAATTCAGTATGACAATTATTTCATTTACATTCTAAGTAGTGAGGAGATAGATCTGTCATTTGTTGGAATAGTCTCGTTCCTTGTTATGAAATATTGAGTTCAGATTATGTGATTTCACATTACTTGACAGGTGCTCAATGTTTATTTGATTAAATTCAATGTTGAGCCATCATGATTTTAATGGATTCAAGAACAGTGCAAGTTACAACCAATCCGGCTCTTCACAAAGTTCAAACAGTAATAGCATGAAGATTGCAGCTTCTCTTTGAGAGATGGTGCCCTGGGAATGAATTTGTCTGATTTAAAGGTTTATTCCATGCTGAAAGGAAAAGAAAAGAGTTTCATTGTTTCGGCTGTGGAGCCTTCTACAAGTGTTTGAAGGTGTTCTGGTCTAACACACCTGAAGAAGACTCCACTGCCAAAACATTGTGTCTCTTTTTTTCCTTTCAATATGGAATGAACCTTTATTTGTTCCTTTGCAACCTATCCATGTTGATGCAGCTACCTACTTAAAATTCTTCAGCTGATTTAAAAATGAGCAGATTTAGTCCACAGAAACCAAGAAACTGCCTCTGCAAGAGACAGGCCACACCATGGAAGAGGAAGAGGCTCACCACACCATCCCAGAACCATCATATCCATCTAATCCATCTGCTCAATCCTTTTCAGACTCCAGAAGTTACAGCAGAAGAAATTCTGGAAACAACCTGTACAGCACCACGATGATCATAGCCTGCCTTCTGCATGACAATTATGCACTATGTATTCTTATACAAGAGTATTCTTGGAGGTCATTCATGGGTGAGTGACTACTGAGTGATGAAATCACCAAATCTCCTGTGGGCCAGTGAACATATGGGTCGGTGGCAGAGAGAGTTTAACTTACCAACAAATGCTTCTTTTCCCTTGACAGAATGGACAGAAGACAACACTTGTCATATTGGAAGATTATGCCAAATATTACATAATTTAGGAAAACGTAAATATGGCTTGTTGGAGAAGAACCTCCTTTAACACATGAATATTATTAATAGCAACCTGAACCAGACATTCTCATACTGAAAACTGATGGTGATTCTCAGATCTGTATTCTTGCACTGTGAGTCTTTCATATTTGCGTTTTAAACATTTAATAAAATCCAATTCTGCACCTGGTTAAGGAATATCCCATGAAATAACTTGTTAAAAAGTATTCCTTTATTGCCCTGAAAAGAAAGAGGATACAAAGTACCAACAATGTTTTTTTAAAAAAAACTGGCATGGTGGCCTTGCATTAGAGCGAGTGCCTTTTGAGACAATCTTACAAGGCTAAGGGTGTTTTCACTTAATTTTTCAGTTTTGAAAAAAAACTCCAAAACTTTTTAGGAAAAACAGTGTATTTTACTTTGTTCATATTAGAAATTCAAAATAACCTCTTACAACTCTTACAACTAAGAGTATATTAAATCATTGTTTTTTTGTGATGATCATGTTGTGATGCCCTGATGAGTTTCAGTGCTCCTGCATCAGCATCCTCAATCACCACCCCCCACACCCAGTTTAGGCTTGATTTGGAAAAAGACTAAAAGGAAAAGTTGAATTTTCTTTGACTTTAGAAGCTCACTAGCTTTTATTCTACGATGGCACCGTTCAATGGCAGTGTCTAGCTTACGATTTGCAATGTACAGTACATGTACACATGGCAATAAACTACTCTCTACTCTTTCAATTTCAAAAAGATAATAATTCTTTCCTACTAACATTCTGAAAACATCTTATGTTTATAAATTATTATGCTATCACATTTACTCAAGGTAACACATGCAAGCAACCGCTCGATCACAATAAGAGCAATGTATCACTCTTTAAATCGGAAAACAAAAGCTGACCTACAATAAGATTTAAACTGCCCAAACAAGCATGGACTCTGCATACACCCATGGACCTGATGCTGCAGACAAAAAGCCAATCAGTATAGTGAAAACACCAAATGAAACCTGCCAATCTCAGTTTCCAATAACATCTAGTCTAGTTCTCTAGTTAATGTAGTAGCAACTGGTGAATACAATCCACCTTGGAAATTCAACCTGCAAGCTGTACTGTCATTTTAACACAGGAACAACTGGGTAGTCCCTAAATGTTTTTTTTTTCTGTGAAGGGAAGAAAAAGGTTGTAGTTTTATGATAATTATCCTGATATCATTTCCATACTTCTAA